GAAGCTTCAGTCCAGGGGATGTCGTCACGTGGATTTGATCTAACAGTCACCATGTCGATTAGATTAGTATAAATAAATCCCTCATTGTATAGAGAAGGGGATGATGATTGGTAGGGAGGAGAAGGAAATGCATTAGGCTTGGCTTGATTTTGAATAAGACCACTTGTATTAAAATTCATGATGTATAGTAAGAAATTCTCTTTTATCTATCCTTCCACATATTCCGTTGCGCAACAGATATTCATTTTAGGAAAATCGATGTAACTCTTGTTGATAGCGCAAGGGCTGTTTAAACAAGACCGTCGGAGTTTGAACAGTTGTGTCTCTTGCCGGATAGCACCTCCCGCGTTCTTACCAACTGCGCTACAGCTCCTGTTCCGGTAGAAACGCGTCGGATCATTGCTTGGCGTAGCAAGAGTGGGCCGGGTATCTGCTGAGTTCATTTTTTGGGGTCGACAAAAAATACCAAAGAAAATTAAAAATACTGTTGGAATTGTACAATAATGAAAAGAAACGTTATGATAAACAAAGTAATAATAAAAGAGGGAAAATCTGATTGTAGATATAGTAGCGGTATTGGAAGGAATCGAGGCATGTGTTGCATACAATTTTCTTAAAATAAATTTGGTCTCCATTGTGGTACAAGAGGACTGATAGCTTATATTTTTCAGGGTACAACGGTAGAAAGTAGATGCTTAGCACCTCGTCACTATTTTAGGCGAACTAAGAATGCTCACAATTCTATCGCCGAATTAAAACAAATAAACTATCTAGACTATTGAGAATGAGATTCTTGACAACAAAGAAAGGAGAGAGAAATTTTGAGAGAAGAAAAAACTCTTGAATTTTTTGGCGTGAAGAATAAGGAAGAGAATACCTTCTTATATGATACTAGGATGAGGGAGGTTTCAATTTCCTATTAATTTTTCATTAAAAATGTATTACTGTTAACATTTGAGTGTGACCCAAATTCTTTGTTGAAAATAATTGGGATTTCTAATTAAAATGTACATTAAGAAAAATTTTATTTGGAATGCTATTATGGAATCATATTCAAATTAACTTAGAGAATTCTAGTTGAAGTTCTACTTGAAAATCTAATTGGGAGTTGAGATCTGTGTTGGACTTGAAGAACACTTTGGAGTGGAAAAAAACATATTTGGAAGGTATTTTGGAACAGAGATGCCGCCTAGGCGCCGACAACTATTTATGGAATCAGGTGGCCAGAGCATGGTGCCATGGCTCCGTCATGCTTTTGTTTCTTATTCCGGTTTGGACTCGGTTTTTTGTATTTTACTTCAACTACGACTCTATTATTATGATTTGGACGTCCCCCATTTGTTCCTTATATATATTTGGTTGTTCATTATGATTTAGTAGAAGTTAGAAATAATGTAAACACAAATATTTGTATTCTTTCTCCATATTATAATAAAATTTTCATTATCTTGCGATAAATTATTTTATATAGTGGTTATAATCTCTTATTTTCTTCGACAATTTGGTCTTAGATTAATACGATATCTTCTTCATTTCACAACAAACTGATATCAGAGATTCTGGTTTTGAAGTTCTTGGAAAGTTAATAGCTCAACTTGATCTTTCGTGATGACAACAATGAAATATGATATTCCGCTATTAGATCGCAATACAAGATTATCTTTGTGGTAGGTAAAGGTGTGAGTAGTACTCGCTCAAATAGATTTAGACACACGCTTTTAAGATTTGACAAGATGCCCAAACTTGGAGTACTCTGGAGGAGAAACGACATAGGGATCGAAATGCTCTATCTCAAATACATTTCCATCCTTCAAATAATATTCTTCGAGACGTTTTGAAAGAGAAGTTAGCCACTATATTGTGGTTAAAATTGGAGCAATTATGCATGACGAAAACTCTTACTAGCAAATTTCATGTGAAGTAACATCTATATTTTTATCGTATGACAGAAGGTATATCTCTTGAAGGTCACCTAACTGATTCAAGGAAATCACCACTGATTTGAAAATTTTGAAGGTAAAATACGATTAAGAAGATTTGTGATTGATTTTATTGTATTAATTGTCCACTTCATACATGCCTTTTAGAGATGATTCTATATAGTCGTGATATTCTCACCGTCGAAAAGTCTACGATACTCTATATTCAAATGAGAAGATGAAGCATTTTATTACATTTGAGAGTCATGGAGATGACCTCATTGTGATGGTGGTCGTTCAAGGGGCAAGTCAAAATCTAAGTTCAAATTTTGTAATTATTGCAAGAAGAATATAAACTTGATAAACGATTGTTACAAGTTACAAAATAAATCAAAATTGACTACAAATCAACAATCAGAAACTTCAGGGGAAGCAAGTATTGTAGAAAATCCTAACAGTGATGGAACTTAATTATATCCGACTACAACTCCAAACCTGACGAAACTTGGATTCTTGATACAGCTTTCACTTTTCATATGTCTCCTAATCGCAATTTGTTTTCAATATATAAATAAGTTTCAAAAGGTGTTCTGATGACCAAAAATAATACATCTTGTCGGATTGCTGGTATTAGCCAGATCAGAACAAAGATGTTTAATGGGATGGTTAGAAGACTTGATGCAATGAGGTAAGTTCCCGATCTGGAGAGAAATCTTATCTCCTTAAGTACTCTTAATTCAAAATGGTACATGTATATTGTTGAACGTGGAGTCCTGAATGTTATTAAAGGACCCTGTGTTTTGTTAAAGGGATATAGAAAATCTCATCTATATTTTGCAGTGTTATGCAGAATTTTTGAGCAGTCAGCATATTTTAAGAACTCATATTTATTTGGAGTTGGATTCTATACCGTTGGAGTTTAATTCGAGGTCTTCTTTAAAGAATATATGTCAGTTGAATTTAGAAGTTATGAGTTAATCCGTCTTACCACCATCATCGGCGGTATTATTGTATTCAGTTGCTAGTAACATACCCTTTTTTTCATAAAATTCCATATAAATACAATTCTACTGATTTAATTGAGGCTATGTTTGGTACCAAT